TAATCCGGGACCAGTATCTCTAAAGCTAACAGAACCAAGGTGCAGTACGTTTATCTGTCTTTGTGGCTGTTTAGTATTCCACGTTGGCCAAATCACGTGCGTGCCACATATACCTTCGTGGCATACTCGCGACTGGCCATCGATGCTTCGGTCCAACTAAATGACATAATCTCACGTTCACAATAACAACGTTATCGTAAGTTTTATCTGTAAACGCGATTATTTGCGATAGCTAGAATAGATATATATTACGGATGACACTCACAAATCAGGGGTGGCTGTCTAGTAAATTCACTCGGGTCTCGGGTGTTGTGTGGGTTGGTTGTGCCACTGGTACCTCTGCTGAGCGAGTTGACACTTCAGCTCGCTCTTAATAAGTGGGGAAACGAAAGTGGCAATGGCGACACACCAACCCACAAACATGGCAACACCTGACGCAGGACCGAGACGACCCATCCACAGACAACCCAAGACTCCATCGCAGAACCGGGCGGAACAGACGAGCAACTGAGTGTCCCACAAACCAATGCCCCAGGTACCAACACATACAGGTACTCCTCCAGTCACTATATATGGTCCCACTTCCTACACGGTCCTTATCGAAGTAAAGCACCGGTAGCTGACATGATGGACGACAAAGGCAGCGTCATAGCGGTCGTCATCATGGATCAAGCAGAAGAAGATGACTGGAGGCAGAAGCCCAGACAACCCGGTCATCATCAAGATGTCAGCCGATAATCAGGACATCATCGGTACTCCCAACATTCATGTGAGTGAACCAACTTTCAAGTTCAAGTCAACCTAGGCATACATCACGAATCATCTGCACGTTTCTTCCGATGTGTGGCGACAATATCAGTGAACTCTTTGGTTCTGACTCTCACCGTGAACTGTGTACGTGAACTTCCTCAAGGACGTTCTTGTTTATGTGAGGTATGTTGTATGTTCTCCGGTCATTGTTTCGTTGTGTTCTTAGTTGTCATGTTTTCATATAGAGTATGTATTGCTTAATCAGCGGATGATGTTATCAGACATACATCTTTATCAGATTAACTTGTTGAAGTCGGCTGGGTTCTTACTCTACGGTACATCCTTTGGTCACACCCTACGCCCTACACATGTACGCATTTAGTGCAGATCAACGTTATCTGCGGGATCCGAGGTCTTCCCATACAAACCAGACTCCCGGTTTCAAGGATTTTTCTCATACTTGGTAGGTCTATAACCGTCACTATAGATAATAGCTTTCCATAACTCTATTCAAATACAATATGATTTCCCGCTTACATTATTCATGCCATCCTTTTGAAACATGTGAGCATCTGCTATGTACAAGTATTCATTGTGAAAGATATGATATAGTCGTTCCCTCGTCGAAACAGCTATTGTAAGAGTATACCCATGTTATGGAGACCCAGCCGCTAGTCATATTCACTGCGCCATTTAGTGGAAAAACTGTATGTCCAGTATGTATCGTATACTACTTCGTTTCGCCACCTTGAGTTTACTCTAAACCACGATAGCTACTGGCGGAAATAGGTATCTTCGGAGTCCCCTGGCTCAATATACGATTCGCAGAAATATCGTCGAGCCAAATTCACTTGGAATGAATTTTCATTATATGTCAGTATAGACTTTGAAGTTGGTTAGGTTCATTTCTTCATGCCCTTACTTCGTTTAGAGCAGATCACAACCTCTGCTAGCCTTGCCGGGTCTTGGCTCACAATATAAGACCTGAAATTCAAGGATCTTGCTGTTGTCGAGAATGCTACCTAGATGCAAACGGTACCACCAGGGATACTCTCAGCTCACTGACGTGGATTGTGAACAACAGTCACCTGGCTGTAAGTGACCAGTACTACCCAGTTGAAAAGCCATTGCGTCAACGCATACATCAGGGTAAACGTCACCATTTAGTCAAGGGATGGCTTACTCAGAACCCTCATGGGAACCTCCTCGAACATGTTACTGAAGAATTCAAGCGAATCTTTCATGAACGGGGCTTCACCATGAAAGACAAGAGATTGAAACGCCCCTACAAATATCTCCAGATAAAGTAAATACCAGGGATTAAAGATGTCTTTCATACCTAAATTCACTATGTCAACACCATCTAGATCATGCATAGTTCTCGCGCTGTAGAAATTGTCTGCAATTTCACCAAAACCCTAAATGCTGTTCCCATTTGGTGTACACATTGGCAACTGTCGTCTTGTGTTTTGTTTCAGGAAAGAGGCACATCTCTAACATCCTCTTCTGTATCCTGATAGTCGTCATTTTCCAATATTATGACACTAGCGTTTAGCGACTCCTTACTAGCACTTAGTTGCTTAATTTACATCTTTCACCTATTGTTGCCCTTGTATCCACCCTTTACGGACTAAGGTCAATATGTACACACGTTCTCGTCAGCCACCATGGGTACGCTGAGACACCAGTTGTTTCTGTACCACAATTCTACCCATTACTCGAAATGTGATATGAATGATGTTATTATGTTTATACAAATTTCCGGGACGAAATATTAAAAGAACAGGGGATACTATTAACACGGAAAAAAATTCTAGACAAGAGTTTACCAATATTTTATAACGATATACGTTATTGAAAAGCTGGAAATATTACAGACTAAACTGACTACGTTCCTCAATCTTAAAACCTGCCAAGAGCTGCATTGATAACTATAATTCATCAGACTTAATCCGGGACCAGTATCTCTAAAAGCTAACAGAACCAAGGTGCAGTACGTTTATCTGTCTTTACGGCTGTTTGTATTCCACGTTGGTCAAATCACGTGCGTGCCACATATACCTTCCTGGCATACTCGCGACTGGCCATCGATGCTTCGGTCCAACTAAATGACATAATCTCACGTTCACAATAACAACGTTATCGTAAGTTTTTATCTGTAAACGCGATTATTATGCGATAGCTAGAATAGGTATATAATACGGATGACAGTTACAAATCAGGGGGTGGCTGTCTAGTAAATTCACTCCAGGTGTTGTAACTTTGCTTTCTTCAAAGTTCGAGAATGTACCGAAAGTGCCAGATACACGGGACGGATTGAGTAACCAATGTACCGGAAGTGCCAGATACACGGGAGGGGATTGTGTAACCAATGTACCGGAACTGCCAGATACACGGGAGGGTATTGTGTAACCAATGTACCGGAAGTGCCAGATACACGGGAGGGTATTGTGATGCCAATGTACCGGAAGTGCTAGATACACGGGAGGGTATTGAGTAACCAATGTACCGGAGGTGCCAGATACACGGGAGGGTATTGAGTAACCAATGTACCGGAAGTGCCAGATACACGGGAGGGTATTGTGTAACCAATGTACCGAAAGTGCCAGATACACGGGAGGGGATTGAGTAACCAATGTACCGGAAGTGCCAGATACACGGGAGGGTATTGTGATACCAATGTACCGAAAGTGCCAGATACACGGGAGGGGATTGAGTAACCAATGTACCGGAGGTGCCAGATACACGGAAGGGGATTGAGTAACCAATGTACCGGAAGTGCCAGATACACGGGAGGGGATTATGTAACCAATGTACCGGAAGTGCCAGATACACGGAAGGGTATTGTGTAACCAATGTACCGGAAGTGCCAGATACACGGGAGGGGATTGTGTAACCAATGTACCGGAAGTGCCAGATACACGGGAGGGTATTGTGTAACCAATGTACCGGAAGTGCCAGATACACGGGAGGGTATTGTGTAACCAATGTACCGGAAGTGCCAGATACACGGGAGGGTATTGTGATGCCAATGTACCGGAAGTGCCAGATACACGGAAGGGTATTGTGTAACCATCATGAGTGGCTAGCACTGAGACAATATACACTCATGGAAACGTAGAAGGGAACACATGAAAGTACAAGTGTTCCTTTATTTATTTATATAATATAGTTAAAAAACCGTACAATCAACCACAGCTGTATTTCAGGGTGATCTAGACTACAGCTGTATTTCAGGGTGATCTAGACTACAGCTGTATTTCAGGGTGATCTAAACTACAGCTGTATTTCAGGGTGATCTAGATTACAGCTGTATTTCAGGGTGATCTAAACTACAGCTGTATTTCAGGGTGATCTAGATTACAGTGGTATTTCAGGGTGATCTAAACTACAGCTGTATTTCAGGGTGATCTAAACTACAGCTGTATTTCAGGGTGATCTAAACTACAGCTGTATTTCAGGGTGATCTAAACTACAGCTGTATTTCAGGGTGATCTAGACTACAGCTGTATTTCAGGGTGATCTAAACTACAGCTGTATTTCAGGGTTGTCTAAACTACAGCTGTATTTCAGGGTGATCTAAACTACAGCTGTATTTTAGGGTGATCTAGACTACAGCTGTATTTCAGGGTGATCTAAACTACAGCTGTATTTCAGGGTGATCTAAACTACAGCTGTATTTCAGGGTGATCTAGACTACAGCTGTATTTCAGGGTGATCTAGACTACAGCTGTATTTCAGGTTGATCTAGACTACAGCTGTATTTCAGGGTGATCTAGACTACAGCTGTATTTCAGGGTGATCTAGACTACAGCTGTATTTCAGGGTGATCTAAACTACAGCTGTATTTCAGGGTGCTCTAAACTACAGCTGTATTTCAGGGTGATCTAAACTACAGCTGTATTTGTTTTAAATTGATAAGATGATGAAATGTATTAATCCAGGCATGAATGACGACATAACAATGACAATAAACAAATGGAAGCCGAGAATTAATCCAAGTCTAATTAGTGATGTAATATGTCGCTTTCTCGTCTCTTGCTATCGCTTTCTCGTCTCGTTATCGCTTTCTCGCTGCCAAGTTTGAAGGCGAGAAAGCGATGGCCCTTATCAGCCACCATACCAAACTATGGTATAAACCGGTCATCTGATACCTACTCCTACAAGACAATGGTAGCAATTCGAAGTAGCCTTCTTGACCCACTTAAAGCCAGATTGGTCACTTCCTCACCCCCGGGTATGTACGGAGCCCCACAGACCGCGGCGCTATATAGATCCCAGATCCCGCGGTGAGCCACAAGTCCTCCACACAGGATCTACAACCTACAACATGAAGGTGGCGTGTCTTCTCCTCTGTCTGGCGGTCTGCGTGTTGGTGGGTGAGTCCCTGTGTCATAACGTTACCTGACAACCGTTCTTTTCTCTTTATTACGCTGGCTGTCTTCGTGTTTTTCAAAATTCTTAGGGCCGGTTGGGTAGCCATGTTGCAAAAGTTTTAGCTAATCACGCCGAATGTCTGTTTTCCATTCCCAACGATTGAAGCCGTTTCTGAAGTCCCTCGTCTAGATGCTCTGCTGACAAATTGCTACAAAACTGTATCCACTCACTCACTCTTGTAACTGTCAGGGGGCTGGTGGGCGGCTTTGCAGACTCATTGATAACACGTTCGTTCTTCAAACATAAGACCTGGGTCCAATACTATACGTGCTTCAGGCTATGATGTGTGATGTGTTCTTAACCCTCATGAAAAGTTGCACGTCCTGTCTTCTACTGATGACTTGTGATGATTACTTGGCTACACGGCGAGAACCGGTGATTACTTGTATATATAATGAGTGGAAGTGATTACTTGCCTAAATGTTTATAGCTAGTGATTGCTTGCTTACATTGTGGGAGGCGCGGTAGGGTAGTCTAGTGGTTAAAGCGTTCGCTCGTCACGCCGAAGACCCGGGTTCGATTCCCCACACGGGCACATTGTGTGAAGCCCATTTCTGGTGTCCCCCGTCGTGATATTGCTGGAATATTGCTAAAAGCGGCGTAAAACTAAACTCACTGACATTCTGGGACGCAGTGATTACTTGCCTAAATGTTTATAGGTAGTGACTACTTGCCTAAATGTTTATAGGTAGTGATAACTTGCCTAAATGTTTATAGGTAGTGACTACTTGCCTAAATGTTTATAGGTAGTGACAACTTGCCTAAATGTTTATAGGTAGTGACTACTTGCCTAAATGTTTATAGGTAGTGATAACTGCCTAAATGTATATAGGTAGTGACCTAAATGTTTATAGGTAGCCTAAATGTTTATAGTGACTACTTGCCTAAATGTTTATAGGTAGTGACTACTTGCCTAAATGTTTATAGGTAGTGACTACTTGCCTAAATGTTTATAGGTAGTGACTACTTGCCTAAATGTTTATAGGTAGTGACTACTTGCCTAAATGTTTATAGGTAGTGATTACTTGCCTAAAGGTGTTACTTGCCTAAATGTTCATAGGTAGTGATTACTTGCCTGCATGTTCATAGGTAGTGACTACTTGCCTAAATGTTCATAGGTAGTGATTACTTGCCTGCATGTTCATAGGTAGTGATTACTTGCCTAAATGTTCATAGGTAGTGATTACTTGCCTAAATGTTTATAGGTAGTGATTACTTGCCTGCATGTTCATAGGTAGTGATTACTTGCCTAAATGTTTATAGGTAGTGATTACTTGCCTAAATGTTCATAGGTAGTGATTACTTGCCTAAATGTTCATAGGTAGTGATTACTTGCCTAAATGTTCATAGGTAGTGATTACTTTCCTAAATGTTCATAGGTAGTGATTACTTGCCTAAATGTTCATAGGTAGTGACTACTTTGCCTAAATGTTCATAGGTAGTGATTACTTGCCTAAATGTTCATAGGTAGTGACTACTGCCTGCATGTTCATAGGTAGTGACTTCATAGGTAGTGATTACTTGCCTAAATGTTCATAGGTAGTGATTACTTGCCTAAATGTTCATGTTCATAGGTAGTGATTATTTGCCTAAATGTTCATAGGTAGTGATTACTTTGCCTAAATGTTCATAGGTAGTGATTATTTGCCTACATGTTCATAGGTAGTGATTACTTGCCTGCATGTTCATAGGTAGTGATTACTTGCCTGCATGTTCATAGGTAGTGATTACTTGCCTACATGTTCATAGGTAGTGATTACTTGCCTGCATGTTCATAGGTAGTGATTACTTGCCTGCATGTTCATAGGTAGCATGTTCATAGGTAGTGACTACTTGCCTACATGTTCATAGGTAGTGATTACTTGCCTAAATGTTCATAGGTAGTGATTACTTGCCTACATGTTCATAGGTAGTGACTACTTGCCTACATGTTCATAGGTAGTGATTACTTGCCTACATGTTCATAGGTAGTGATACTTGTGATTTCATAGGTAGTGACTTTTTGCCTGCATGTTCATTGCCTTGCCTGCATGTTCATGTTCATGTTCATAGGTAGTGATTACTTGCCTACATGTTCATAGGTAGTGACTCATAGGTAGTGATTACTTGCCTACATGTTCATAGGTAGTGACTTACTTGACTGCCTGCATGTTCATAGGTAGTGACTACTTGCCTACATGTTCATAGGTAGTGATTACTTGCCTGCATGTTCATAGGTAGTGACTTTTTGCCTGCATGTTCATAGGTAGTGATTACTTGCCTACATGTTCATAGGTAGTGATTACTTGCCTAAATGTTCATAGGTAGTGATTACTTGCCTACATGTTCATAGGTAGTGATTACTTGCCTAAATGTTTATAGGTAGTGACTACTTGCCTCCATACGTCAGAAGCAACACTGGCATTGTTATAATAGTTACTGTAGGTTGGGTAAACGGAATTGCTGAGGTTTCTTTAAGCCAGGATTCGACAAACCATTATATACGTCTCTCGGAAACCCATGTCCATATTCTATTCGAAAGTTTTGTCTTGCCAAGATGTTATATCCCGCGTGATGTTACAGGGGCGTTCAACAACGCTCACTCACGGGAAGCCCAGGGCCTAGATTTTCGAAGCTCTCTTAACCCTAAGATAGTCGTAGGTTAATGTTAATGTATGGCACTTACGCCTATCTTAGCGCTAAGAGAGCTTCGAAAATCTAGGCCCTGGGCTTTGTGAAAGTACATGAGTCTTAACATGAAGGAGAGTTCACATGCTACAGCTGCTTCTATAAAGTAGTTGTACCAACTTGCTGCCCGTTTAAACGTCACTTATCGTGCAACCAACCCGTCAACGTGTCCTCTGTTGTCCACTTCAGCGTCTGCCCAGCTGTACGACGGCCTGTTCCGGAGGTTGATGAGGGGATACGCCAGGGACGTCATGCCAGCCACGTCCCTCAACTCCACCGTCAACGTCAAGTTCGGCTTGAACCTCATACAAGTCCACGACCTGGTGAGTGTGGCTATATGTGTAACGTTAAAGCGCAGCCGTACCGGTTAAGGATCAATAAGCTGAATCTGTATCTAAGGTTACCTAAAGGGACTTCACGGAAATCATCGACCGATACCTAAAGCTGGCAGAGATACAGCAACACGTGACCTAAACATGTCACAATGAACTTCGATTTCCTCACAGGGCAAGTTGTTATAACGACCACTTAGAATATACCATCTGTGCCATGCACAGCAAGCTTCATGTTTTGGTATTTAGCAGCGAACGAACTCTCTAAGATTACCCTTAAATTTAATTTCATCTTTAGCTATATTAATGGTGGTTGAAACTGCCAATATCAACACATGTAGAAGAACTATGGTGTTCCCACCGGTGCAGTATCAAGAAACCCACCATGACCCTTTCAGTCTGCACCGTCTGTAGGTTATAATGATTTGCAGTACATGTTGCAATGCACTAAACACAATTTGTGTTGTTTCCAGAGCGTATCCTTACAGCTGCTGAAGTCGGAGGTGTGGTTAACGTTGTCGTGGCAAGACACGCGGCTGTCCTGGGATCCCGCGTCGCACGACAACGTTCAGAAAATAGCCGTCCCTTCAGGCAAGGTGTGGATTCCTGACATCATGCTGTTTAACGGGTACGTCTAGTAGTAGCGTTATAGTGAAGCTACGTTTACAACACGAAGCTCGGTCGCCATCTTGACTCCTTTATTCACCCATGTGTTCACCATACGTTCTCAGAGGGTCGGGTCAGAATGACTTCAATTATGGTCCATGTGTGCCCTCATCTACAGTAGAAAGATTTCATCAACACTCGACAGCTTTTAGAAATACCTCTTTTGACCGACTTACGTACTTATGGCCGACAGCTGTTTCATCCCCAGTAACTATGGGCATCATCATTATCAAAATATACGGCCTACACATTCTGATCAGGACACACAACTTCTTATGGTTCTGGGTCCTTAGGACCTGCAGCTTTTCAGGGTTAAGGGCAAACACTGCTTACGATGTAAGATGGATAGACTTGCGACCAACGCGTCCATCCTCACTCACTAACGGGCGGAACTGATAACTTAAGTGTGCAGCTTTGTGGAGCAACAGAAATACGACAAAACATCACACACGTGCACGCGCGCTTTATCTCTTAAGTGAGTGAGTATGGTTTCACCACGATTTCAGCAAAAATTCCAGCACAAACGTTGTTAAACTCAAACTGGGTCCTCACGTAGTACTTGTGTACTAACCTATCACTAAACTGGATTTATCTTTCCACAGGGCGTCTGGTATCCGTGCTGCCACAGTCCAGGCGTTAGTCTACAGTGACGGAACTGTGTTTCTTATCCGGCCAGCCACTATCAGATCGCAGTGTGCCGTCCTCCCCGGAAGTGAGCCGACCACATGCACCCTTAAGTTCGGGTCATGGGTTCACAACGGAAATGAACTCGATCTGGATTTCCAAGGGGAGCATACGGCTGACCTCACTGAATATGTCCCAAACTACGACTTCGACATCGCAAACGTCACAGCTAAGCGCAACGTCATTGTCTACGATTGCTGCCCGGAACGGTACATTGACCTCTCCTACAAGCTGACCTTCAGGCCTGCTGCTGGGAGGACCAGAAGGAGGCGATAGACGCCGCCTGCAGCAGCTACATTGCTGGATTCAGATGGAACTGAACAGATTCATTGCCATAGTTCTATATAATCTGTTACGTTCCGTAGAGAGGAAGGTTTGGATGACAGGTTATTCCGTAAACCAATACAGGGGGGCACGTGGTCCTCCCTGTTCAACAGGACGTTATAGTATACATTTAGCCTTTGCAAGTATAGAGAGAATCTGGAACTTAACACAGCTGGAGAAAGGACATAGATCTGATGTTTGTTGGGCGTGTATGGATCTTGCTTGTTTTACTAGTCACCATACAGCAGGGAAACAAGACTGAGAGGTCCATTCCATGATGCAGGTATTTTCGGAACGGATATCTCTCTGTTGAGCATGTGTCCATATATACGGATAAATAAACAAATCAATTATTTTTGGTTTTGTATGTTTTTAATAGCGTGTGTGGAAGGTTCGCAATACACTAACGGGGAAAGTACCTATGGTTGACACCAAGTAGTGTAGATGTCATGTTGCTGGAAATGGTATCTTCATATCATAATCGTAATCGTAATCGCCGCTCCATCTCATCTCAGACATGTACTTTGAGGGAGAGGTCTGGAGAAAGTCGGCTTTAACAATACAACTGACTGACTGACTGAGTTTAGTTTTACGCCGCTTTTAGCAATATTCCAGCAATATCACGGCGGGGGACACCAGAAATGGGCTTAACACATTGTGCCCATGTGGGGAATCGAACCCGGGTCTTCGGCGTGACGAGCCAACGCTTTAACCACTAGGCTACCCCCCCGCCCCCAGTACAACTGCGTCAAAGGGGTTGATAAGACCTTATATTTCATAACTGCCATTGATAATGACGAGTTGTTTTCTCTCATGAGTTGTGATGCCACAACTTTGTCTTTACTTCTTGAGTGCGACGTTTCATTACGGATTCTTGTACCGTTGTCAAGCATTCCTATGTAAAGTTTGTCTTATAGTGGAGCAGTGTCTGTAGGAGTACACTGGGTTACAAGGTTAAGACGGCGATACAGCCTGGGCCTGTGGGGACTCTTGTATGAAGCAGTCGCCAGTAACCTCGTCGTGTGTGTGTTGTAGCGCCGTTCTTAGGAACACTCCAGCTATACGACGACAGTCTGAAAATAATCCAGTCTGGGCCCACAATCAAATCTATTGATAGACATATTCATAACGAGCATCGTCGAGTCGACGAAACATATCATATTGTCAGCCTGGGTTGATTGCGTCATATCAAGCACCGGATTGTCTGGTCCAGAGTCGGTTATTCCCTGGCAGTCGTGATACAGATGGAACATTGCTGAGCGTGGCGTTATACAGCAACCTAACACAATCTGAACCCCAGACAGCGGCGACTGAAGTGAACAAAGCGCACGTAAAATAATCAATTGTGCGTCGTCCTTGACAAACAGATCGTCGTACAAATATTCGAGGCCGCAGCCAACATTGGACGACAAGAATACCATCCCGACCCATAAAGTCACGTGCTTGTCATTTATCGGACATGTAATATTTAGAATCAGATAGGTGCTACATTCAGACCACCCATCATTAGATGCTTGTTGCAACAGGTACACATATAGTGCTTTAAGCAATATCACGGGGAAGGGGGGCACCATAACTAGGCTTCATACATTGTACCCATGTGGGGAATGGAACCCGTGTCTTCAGCGTGACCAGCGGACACTTCAGCCACTTGGCTACCCGGTACTTGGCTACCCGGTACACATATAGGATCAGACATTGTTTTCAGTAATTAGTTGTTTGTAAAACCAGGACAAACCAAATCTTCATCTGGAATGTACACAGCAACAAAAACAGAAAAAAATCACTTTATTTTAAATGTTTATTGCGAAAATAAATAACATGGTAACACTGTCAGACAATCCGATGATGATGTTAATGATGATAGTGAGGATAGTCTCTGGCTATCCCCGATAGTTTCAAGGTGCAGATAATGCCAGGTACATTCGGGGGGGGCTTGTTACCACAGTTCTAACACTCCTGTCATATTTGGCATTAGATTGTTTGGAAAAGAGAAAATAATAACACAAGAATCCTGTGCCTCTGTAACCCAAACAGTGGAGGAATTGGATTTGGTATAGAGATACACAGAACAAGTGAGACTGCCCCCTCAACTGGGCGAGTGACACGGATCCAGTACCAAGCCTAACTACCAATGCGGTCACTCATACACAGGAATGTATTACAACTGAGGTCAATAACATAATGAAACACACCATTTCCAGTCCTAAAACTGTAACCTGACTGATGTACATTGTCTTGTTGATATAATTTCACATGTACTATAGATCCATGTTGTATCGAACCAAAAACTGCTTTAAAATGCTTCACAAGTTAGTCTGCAAACTCATAGTTGTCCCTTGCAATCAACATGAAAACACCAAGAAAGGTCTCTGAAGACAAGAAAGATATCATTAAAAAGAATATTCACTTTAATTTTTCACTCTTATTGACAGATACTACATTCTGACATGCTGTTACTACATCAATGTGTCCCACAGGTCCATCGTGTCTGTTAAGACCCATCGTGTCTGTCATGGCCCATCGTGTCTGTGAAGACCTATCGTGTCTGTCATAGCCCATCGTCAAGGCCCATAGTGTCTGTCATGGCCCATCGTCAAGGCCCATAGTGTCTGTCATGGCCCATCGTCAAGGCCCATAGTGTCTGTCATGGCCCATCGTCAAGGCCCATAGTGTCTGTCATGGCCCATCGTCAAGGCCCATAGTGTCTGTCATGGCCCATCATCAAGGCCCATAGTGTCATCAAGGCCCATAGTGTCTGTCATGGCCCATCATCAAGGCCCATAATGTCATGGCCCATCATCAAGGCCCATAGTGTCTGTCATGGCCCATCGTCAAGGCCCATAGTGTCTATCAGCTGGTTTACAGAGCAGACACCTGTTGGTGTGGACATCGTTATAATAATGTCATTAAAGTGACCAGTAGTCACCGGCATATTTGGCTGTCTCACTAAATGTATCAGATCACATTAATATCTAAGTGGTGCTTAGTTATAAAGTGTTTGTTTTCAGTATTGACACTTTTGAATACATTTGTTGTTGCCCGCCTACTTTGAATATGGGACCAAATACTTTGTTACACAACTAACAACAGATCTAATGTCAAATACCTTGTATTTCAAAATGCCTGCCTTGTATACATGTATCACCCTCTACTATCTGTACCACACTAGGTACCACTCTGTACATCTGTATCACATACCACACTACCACTCTGTACCACACTAGGTACCACTCTGTACCACACCAGGTACCACTCTGTACCACACCAGGTACCACTCTGTACATCTGTACCACACTAGGTACCACTCTGTACCACACTAGGTACCACTCTGTACCACACTCCACTCTGTACCACACCAGGTACCACTCTGTACCACACTAGGTACCACTCTGTACCATCTGTACAACACTAGGTACCACTCTGTACCATCTCATACAGACGAAACAGTTAGGGACTGGTATATCTGACACCAGCCGACACCATACTGTACCAGCTGTTTCCTTCCAGCAATGTTAATGTCACACTTCACGCTACACTGGGTCATCAGGTTCACTTTTGGGGACATTTGACATCTGGACATCGAAGTCGGAACTGAGGAATTCCTCTGTGCCAAACTGAGGTGTTGCATGGTCAACTGACTCCACCAGGGGTAAAGACTGGCCAGGTGACGATTGAGGGAAAGCTGATGTTTGATTTTCAGTGTCAGCATGCGAATTATCACTAGTCCTGTCTGGGAACGATTCACTGTATCCCTCTGTAACACTACTTTCACTGGCATATGTATACGAAGGAGTCACATTTGTTTCAGTTTGGGAAACTGAAGATTGTTCTAATGAATTAATTTGATTTGTGGATGTGCTGGATTTGGACTGGTCAAACGTGGATGTGCTGACTTGTGATTGGTCAAATGCAGATGAGGTGACTTGTGATTGGTCAAATGTAGATGTACCTGGTGATTGATGGACACTGCCATTGGATGATTGCTGGAGGTTGTTGTCCGGAGTGTCAGGAGATGACACATCAAGGTCGATGCCAGGGACAACCTGCATGGCCTCCATCCCAGCCTGGGCTGCAGGACTGTCCCTGTCAGCAATGGGGTCAGTCTGGCTGCTCATCTGCTGCTCGGAGTCTGATCTCGGGTCACTCTGACTGGATGCTGGACTCATGTGTTCAAGGTCAGGAGGGGGACTGGCATGGTGTGTGGGATTAATGCTTAGTTCATATTCAGGATCAATACATTCATTCTTTACAATAATCATGGGCATAGCATCCCCATCCTCTTGTGTATGTACTACCTGGCCTCCTCCCCCTCTGTCTCCATAGTTACCATACAAGTCCACATCAGACTGCACACTGTGATCAAACTGGTTGCTATGGTAACTAGAAGTTGTCTGGTCTTCTTCACCAAACACTCGGTCAAACTCCACCTTGGGAGGAGACTGGATGGTAGTTGTTTCAGAGTCACACATGGTCTGAGTGCACATATCTGTCTTGCCCTCACCTGTTTCCTGGGCCTTCTGGTCAACTAGCACCAACAATGGAGACTTGACGTCCTTGACCGACATCTGTGGAATTATGCCAGTACTGACAGCGTGAGCCATGTACTCCTGACAACACATGGTGAGGTGTTCCATGCGAAGCATGAGAGAGATCTTGAGAAGGGAGGATGCATTGTTCGGATTTAAGCGGAGGACGCCGTCATAGATGTAGGTGAGGAACTGGTAGACGACGTCCAGCTTGATGTCTGGCGGCATCTTGAGACGCAGCTCAGTGGCAGGGTTAAGGTGGTCGAAGGATGCCCGCAGATAGGGGCTAGCAGCAAACAGCACCATCCTGTGAGCCTGCAACACCAAGTAGGTGGACATGAATACTGTGTGGCACGGAGAATGTAATGAGTGGATCTTTCATCTGGGCTGACTTAGCTCGGCGTCTGATCAAATGTTCAATAACATGTGCATATACAAAAACACAAGAAACATATTCATACACAGTGAAAGGCCAGCCTCCAATCCAATTCCATTGAATGTTTCTATTTCTAAAATCCAATTACAGCACATACTCCCATTCACGTATAGCATCCTACAGCCATAGTTACTTACAATGTATTTATAGCAACACAATACAGTACTTTACAGTTACACCTACTCCATCCACAGTTGAATCACTGCTGACATTACAGAAGACACACACACCCCACCACACACCCCTCTCACTCACTCACTCACACACACACTTGAGTAATACACTGCCAGGATGAGCGAGTGAATATCATTTAACACTGTGCAGTCAGGAAAGGTCTAGCCCTATGACTGTTCTATGGATCACCCAGTCAGGGCCAGGGAAACCAGTGGTGGAAGGAATGAACATAATTTATTGTATCAGGGCAGTCAAAACATCTCAGTTGAGACAGCCAAGCTGGGACACCTCAGCCACAACACACCAGTTATGACAGTCACGACACCCTAGTCTTTAAGGAGATGTCAGGTAGAACACCCTCCTCATGACACCTATGCAGCGTTCGAAATAGCTACTGGCCCACTAGCCAACTGCTAGCTGATTGTGCATCGGTCCGGTAATATATTCTTAAAGCTATCCCGACTGGATGGCTGAAATCTTAGATAATTTGTTCTTTATTTAATGCACATGAATATGATGATGTCAATTATTAAGGTGTTAAAAGTCTGCCTGCAAATGTTTCATGATATTTCTATCTCTTGTCACACGAAGATTTGCGCAAAAGAGGTTACGAACCATACAAATGTAACGTTTAACATCTTCAATACCGAACATCACACCAATTCTGACCGATGTGCGTTTTGATATTGATATTTTGCAGGGCCAGTGAAGTGTGATGTGGGCTAGCAAGATTTATAACTAGCCCTCCTGGTCAGTGACCTTTCAAAATTAATTCATACCCTGCACCAAACTAGCCCTCTTGGTCAGTGATTTTTCAAATTAATTCATACACTGCACCAAAGTCACAATACCTCAGTAATGGTACATCCATCAGGACACCTCAGTCAGAACACATGGTTCCAGACACCTGAGTTGGGACACAGAGTGGTAACCACGAGTATCACTCCTCACTCCACAGTCTGGTCAACTACAACCTGTCTACATATGTACAGTACTAGTTTCCCAGCTGGGGCACTACATCAACAAACAGCCACTTCACCTAATTCCAACTGGCCATCGCCATGCTTCTGCGTCAGTGCAGACAACCAGCTTGGAAACATGACAAACACCAAAGCTACACAACATACCTGCAGCTTCATCCCTCCAACCATGATGGCAGCGTCCACAAACTTCCCCGACTTCCACAGGGCAGACAACTCCGTCATGATATGAGAGCTGTGGTCAGGGTTGAGGAAGGCTCTCTCAGAGATGTCAGATTTCACCTCTGAATTCCTACTTGAACTAATCTGGGGTTTGGGCCTTGATATTTGTCGCTGAGGTGACCTTGATACTTGTCGATGTTGCATGGACCGCTGTTGCTGGGTCGACATCTGCTGGATGCCAACTGGTCTCTGCGGAGGTCGTACAACAGACCGAGGTGCCGGCATTCGATGTGATTGGTCAAACGTTGACATATTCTGTCTCTGAACAGGGGCTTGACCCATTTGTCTATTCATCTGCGGCACTGCTCGCTGAGCCTCCAGTCTGGGTCGCTTGAGAGGCGGGGCAGCCGATGTAACCGTGGCAGAGGGCATCCTGGCGCGGGGTTGCATCCCTTGTGGAGGACGATTCTGCATCCCCTGCAGTGGTCGACTCTGCATCCCTGGTCTGGAGGCCACTTGGGCGTTGCCATGGTGAATCTGCTGAGCTGAAACCCAGTATACACTACATGAAACACAGATCACAAAAATATGAAAATAATAGATACATGCTTCCTTTCATTTCTGTGTCCTAAAATATTACTGTAAAACCTTGGTGGGTTCAGCAGTCAACAACAAACAAACCTAGACGTCACAAAGGTTACCTTCATGGGACCATGGTTTAATAATAATAATGATGGTCCTTCTGGCAAAATTAGTGACATCCAGTCATGAATATATTGCAGTTGCCCTAATTATAACTTGTCAGACCTCTATATATAAGATAATAGAAAGACAGAAAATGGCGTTATGCCACCACAAAGTTTAGTTCAGTAATCCTAACGGGGACACAAGATGAGGGCCTGACACCAAACACCTCCAGATCATGGACTACACGATTGTGTGTTCCAATCAATACCATGTTTGATGTCCCCCAGCGTGATATTCCTGGAATATTGCTAACAGCTGAGTAAACCTCACTCATTCACTCCCATCAATACACAGCACAGTACCTCATGGGTCTGTATATCTATCCTCAAGTATTCTACTAACTCCCTGGAAGATAAACCCAAGCAGAAATGGTCATTTCCTGGAGTGAGGTGCAAGCTGCACATGATGCACAGCGGTTGTAGATTATCAAGTCAGGTCAACGAGAGGCTGACAGTATCAGCAATGCTTCAGTGAGGCACTCACTGTCGAGACAAGATCTCCATGGGTCAGCTCTGAAGACCAGGACCTAGACTACCTTAGCTCTAAGGCAGCTTTGAAAATCTAGGCCCTGGAGTGGACCTAAGGACTTATTCTGTCCCCCAGATCCCAAAGAATCACTAGTATGGTGCACAAGTTACCTATTCTCATCCACAATCACCCCATAGTATAAAGTGTACTACTGACCTATTCTCCCTAGAATCCCCACAGAGTATAAGTGTACTACTGACCTATTCTCCCCTAGAATCTACACAGAGTATAAAGTGTACTACTGGACCTATTCTCCCCTAGAATCTACACAGAGTATAAAGTGTACTACTGACCTATTCTCCCCTAGAATCTACACAGAGTATAAAGTGTACTACTGACCTCCACAGAGTATAAAGTGTACTACTGACCTATTCTCCCCTAGAATCTACACAGAGTATAAAGTGTACTACTGACCTATTCTCCCCTAGAATCTACACAGAGTATAAAGTGTACTACTGACCTATTCTCCCCTAGAATCCCCACAGAGTATAAAGTGTACTACTGACCTATTCTCCCTAGAATCTACACAGAGTATAAAGTGTACTACGGACCTATTCTCCCCTAGAATCCCCACAGAGTATAAAGTGTACTACTGACCTATTCTCCCCTAGAATCCCACAGAGTATAAAGTGTACTACTGACCTATTCTCCCTAGAATCTACACAGAGTATAAAGTGTACTACTGACCTATTCTCCCTAGAATCCCCCACAGAGTATAAACTGTACTACTGACCTATTCTCCCTAGAATCTACACAGAGTATAAAGTGTACTACTGACCTATTCTCCCTAGAATCTCCACAGAGTATAAAGTGTACTACTGACCTATTCTCCCTAGAATCTACACAGAGTAAAGTGTGTACTGTACTGCTGACCTATTCTCCCTAGAATCTACACAGGTATAAAGTGTACTGACCTATTCTCCCTATCTACACAGAGTATAAAGTGTACTAGAATCCCTAGAATCACAGAGTATAAAGTGTACTACTGACCTATTCTCCCCTAGAATCTACACAGAGTATAAAGTGTACTACTGACCTATTCTCCCCTAGAATCTACACAGAGTATAAAGTGTACTACTGACCTATTCTCCCCTAGAATCTACACAGAGTATAAAGTGTACTACTGACCTATTCTCCCCTAGAATCTACACAGAGTATAAAGTGTACTACTGACCTATTCTCCCCTAGAATCTACACAGAGTATAAAGTGTACTACTGACCTATTCTCCCCTAGAATCTACACAGAGTATAAAGTGTACTACTGACCTATTCTCCCCTAGAATCTACACAGAGTATAAAGTGTACTACTGACCTATTCTCCCTAGAATCTACACAGAGTATAAAGTGTACTACTGACCTATTCTCCCCTAGAATCTACACAGAGTATAAAGTGTACTACTGACCTATTCTCCCTAGAATCTACACAGGTATAAAGTGTACTACTGGACCTATTCTAGAATCTACACACAGAGTATAAAGTGTACTACTGACCTATTCTCCCTAGAATCTACACAGAGTATAAAGTGTACTACTGACCTATTCTCCCCTAGAATCTACACAGAGTATAAAGTGTACTACTGACCTATTCTCCCCTAGAATCCCCACAGAGTATAAAGTGTACTACTGACCTATTCTCCCCTAGAATCTACACAGAGTATAAAGTGTACTACTGACCTATTCTCCCCTAGAATCTACACAGAGTATAAAGTGTACTACTGACCTATTCTCCCCTAGAATCTACACAGAGTATAAAGTGTACTACTGACCTATTCTCCCCTAGAATCTACACAGAGTATAAAGTGTACTACTGACCTATTCTCCCCTAGAATCTACACAGAGTATAAAGTGTACTACTGGGACTATTCTCCCTAGAATTCTCCCCTAGAATCCCCACAGAGTATAAAGTGTACTACTGACCTATTCTCCCTAGAATCTACACAGAGTATAAAGTGTACTACTGACCTATTCTCCTAGAATCCCACAGAGAGACCTATTCTCCCCTAGAATATAAAGTGTACTACTGACCTATTCTCCCCTAGAATCTACACAGAGTATAAAGTGTACTACGGACCTATTCTCCCCTAGAATCTACACAGAGTATAAAGTGTACTACTGACCTATTCTCCCCTAGAATCTACACAGAGTATAAAGTGTACTACTGACCTATTCTCCCCTAGAATCTACACAGAGTATAAAGTGTACTACTGACCTATTCTCCCCTAGAATCTACACAGAGTATAAAGTGTACTACTGACCTATTCTCCCCTAGAATCTACACAGAGTATAAAGTGTACTACTGACCTATTCTCCCCTAGAATCCCCACAGAGTATAAAGTGTACTACTGACCTATTCTCCCCTAGAATCTACACAGAGGACAAAAACAATGCAGTGGAGACCTATTCTGCCCAAGAATCAGACAGACAAACCAGAGACCTCGCATGGAGGAGTAAGAACATATAATCAACCAACATGTTTTCCCAGACTTGGATGTCAATAGTGGGTATAACTCCTTGTAGAATCGACACCCGGTGACCGGGCCTGCATCAGGGTCAAGGTCGCCACAAACTCTCTGGACGCGATAGAACTCCTTCTTCAACTTCTTGATCTTCTCCTTGCACTGGACCCATGTCCGCTTGATGCCAGCAGTGTTGAGGAGACGGGCTATATGTTCATACACCGTCTTGTTGCGGTACAGGTGCTTCAACTCCTTCTGCACCAACGGGTCACTCCACAGTTCAAACAATGTCAGCACCTCCGATTCCGACCAGTTGTATGCACGCTTCTGAGTCGAATCCTCCATTTTTAAAGGATATACTAAAACAGGTTTTCGATGTAGCGCAGGAATTAGACCTGGGAAGTGTTTGTCCTTTGTAAGTCCAACTAGTATCGAGAATAATGTTAATATAACTTCTTACAACCTTCATCCACCATTGTTTAAGTGACACATTATAATAGGTCACTGCCGTCTTTATCCCACATGTGTTGTATCAGTGCAATAACGCCAGTGCCTAGAAATCAGGCTATATATGTGTATATAGCACATCCAAAATGGCTCAAATCAGAAAACTACATCCAAACACTTTCTGTAGCACCTGCGAAATAACTCTCTTAATCCACATGCTGGCAACATATTCTTCATAGTGAGACAATAATCCAGCCACAGTGTTGAACTATGTGCACACTGTGTAGTCACCCTGTTGATGCTGTCTATCTCCAGCCTACATCAGCCCAGCTGTATGTCTGGAGGCAACAGTCAATCTGAGCCAGCAAGCCCAGGACAAGCTCCTCCTCCCTGCCCGGCTAACCTGCTAATGTGTGCTACATTCTGGCCTGGGTTGAACATCTGGCTAAATATAGCTTGTATTGATCCACAAATAGCGGGCTACAGGAGTCAGCTAGCTGGGCCAAGAAGGGTTGTCATGTGTGGCCTGCAACACCGCCTCCCAACTCCCTTCACAGAAGAGGTGATAGAGTCGACAGTGAGACAGCTACCAGGGCCCAGGTGACCTGCCACATTCCTGACCCCGACAGGATCTGGGCCTTTAGTTGTTGCTTACATCACAGTCAAAAACATTCCAGCTACAAGACAGTGGTCAGTAAATAATGAAGTTTGCATCAGACAATTTGGTGACTAGCATAATGAGCATCAATCCATGCTTCTGGGACACCACGACAAGTGGAAGCAAGTCCGCGAGCCTCAACACCTGATCCCTTTAGTCACTTCTTACGACAAGGATAGTTGCTGAAGATTAATTCTTACCCAGATCGTCACAGGTCAACTACACATAGAGGTCAATCAGACAGTGATCGGCTAGCAGGACCTGGACAGGTCATGTGTGACCCCCAACACCCAACTCAACCATCAATGCTGAAATATACCTGGTAACTGGCACCACCAGATTAACCTGGGACCAACTCCATCATCTCTGTATCACAGATGTAGTTTCAGACTTCTTAGGTTAAAACAATTTGACATCTAGTCATTTTGAAAAGATACATACCACCTTCTTATGTAATACATGCGTGTTCCTGCCAAATGTGCTGCAACACAGCAGCTGTGTATTGCTTTACTCACATCAGTCCACCGATCACCAGTACACGGCTACAATTCAGGTCTTAACAACTCTGTCTTAACGCTGGGTGCATATCATCCTCCACAAGCTCCAGAGAGCAATTAAAAATATCTCATGGAAATATTTCATACTCCTTCATAAACTATTCAACCTAAAGTCCACTAAATATTTCGATATTACCAGTAAGTATCAAAGTATGGATCTGTGTGGATCTGCAACATCCCTATAAGGGGTGGGGGGTAGCCTAAAGGTTGAGACCGCCTCCGTGGTGTAGTGGTTAGAGCGTCGCGGGTTCGATCCCTGACCGCATTATACCAAAAGACGCTAAAATATGGTATTTGTTGGTCCCTGCCTGGCGCTCGGCATTAATGGGTACAACAAGGACTGGTCGGCTTGGAGTATCTCAGTGGGCTGGCACTATAAAACCAGCTTCAGTTTGGGCTAGTACAAGCAGCCGCACATACACATACACACGCATGCACGTCGTCATATGAGCGAAATATTCTCCAGCACGACGTTAAACCCAATTTCACCTCACCTCACCTCAAGGTTGATGTGTTCACTCGTCCTGCCAAACCCTTTCACTTTGTCCCCACAATATAATGCTGGAAAGGAGGGAAAGGGTGCTGGGAGCACGCACAATAGACTGCTGGTAAGGGGGGGAAAGGGTGGTTGGGGGCACAATATAATGCTGGAACGGAGGGAAAGGGCGGTGGGAGCACAATAGACTGCTGGAAAGGGGGAATGGGTGGTGGGGGCACAATATAATGCTGGAAAGGAGGGAAAGGGTGGTAGGGGCACAATATAATGCTGGAAAGGGGAAAGGGTGGTGGGGCACAATATAATGCTGGAAAGGGGACAATATAATGCTGGGGAAAGGTGGGGGCACAATATAATGCTGGAAAGGGTGGTAGTGGCACAATATAATGCTGGAAAGGGGAAAGGGATGGGGCACAATATAATGCTGGAAAGGGTGGGGGGGCACAATAGACTGCTGAAAGGGGAAAAGGTCATGGGGGCACAATGTAATACTGGAAAGGAGGGAAAGGGTGGTGGGGCGGGGAAAGGACTGCTGGAATGTAATGCTGGAAAGGGGGGAAGGGCTGCACAATATAATGCTGGAAAGGAGGGAAAGGGTGGTGGGGGCAAAATATAATGCTGGAAAGGGTGGGGGGGCACAATATAATGCTGGAAAGGAGGGAAAGGGTGGTGGGGGCACAATATAATGCTGGGAAAGAAGGTTGGGGAAGGGAACACAATAGACTGCATACATTTTACATGTTTAGACAGTATGTTTCTACACCTCAAGTTTCAAACATGTCAATACCTTTCTTCCTGTAGTCAGGGAAGGCAGCATTTCTGCCTGTAAAGAGAGTTGCCCGAGTTTGATCCGGCACTGCAGCCTGACCTACTGTCCCATCCTCAGCTATGCACACAACATCAGTCACACCCAGGATGGGGGACCTCATGACAGAATGGGCATGGTTTTCGCCTCCTGAACTACAAGTCACTGATCGCTTATCCAAACTACTTAGGGAGAGTCCCCTGGAATTATTTCCACTTTTCTCCACCAGACTGAGACGAGAGGCAACATCTCTCCTGAATCTGGATGCGCCATCCTTGCTGATCTGCATTGACTGTTCAACTGTTAACTTCCTACCAACAAATCTGTCCATACAAGAAGGCTGACGGGGAGTCCCTTTTCTCCTCAGAACAAGAAACGGAAGGACAATTAGAATTGAATGTGTCTTCAATCTTAACAGATGGATCCATCTCCTTCTTGATGTGAAACAATGACTTGACAGACTCCTCCTCAAGAACTCTCTGAACAGTTGCCATGTCCTCCTGGCAGGTCGAAGACATTGTCAGTTCCATCAGATGGTTGTGGTCATCACCAACCTTTGTCAGCACACCGTCCGCTGTCACCAACGTGGCTGAACAAGTACGAGTGCAGCACCGCCAGTAGATCTTATGTCCGAGTGCTCGTACATTGTAATAACGATACCCGCGAAACTGAACAGCAGTCTTGCCTCTGCGGGTCGTGATGAACTGGATGCCTTCGCACTGGTCCATTTCTGGGCAGGTCAAGGTCAGCCTGGTAAATAAGGACCTCAATGAAAATTCGCTGGCATGCCAAACATGAGTTGGCAGAAGGCCAACTGAACAACAGTACATCCAATGCATGCTGGTGAGGGAGGACGACCTCTAACCCTTTGTCACATGACCAAATTCTCACGCAATAGAATATTCTCAAGGGAAAAGGATAAAGATGGAATAAATATGCATTATGTGCTGAACAACATAATAAACACATCAACAAATATAAGTTAGTTACATAAACAGGAGCAGAAATACAAGTCCCAAGCGACAGAGTTAGTACGAGTTGAAGCAAACCAACTTACCTCTTGCGATTCTTTGCTGTGCAAAACTTGGTCTAAAGGTGTAGCCTGGATTCCTATTGGCAGGCGGAGGAGCTGGTCTTGGGTGAGATTTGGGTGGACCTACTAGGTCAAGGTCAAGGTCAAGGTCAGGTCTGTGTATTATCTGGGGCTTCACTTCCTGTATGGACACTGAGGGATCCACCACACTAGACGTCCCACTGGGCTCCCCTGTAATGGGAGAGGGAAACAAGTCTTACTAATGCACCTCCAAATTGCCTGTGAGGCATTGATATTCTGTGTTGGAAGATTTCTAAATCAATTGTTCCAGATATTGCAAAAAATACAATTTATCCTAAAGTAAATATTTTGCTTGATGACCTAAAGACAATATGTTACAAAAAAAGATGTCTTGTAAAAGTTATTGTAAAACTATTCTGTTTCAAACTTTCCTTTGCTGGCTACCAACCATCCCCTGCACACAGAATAAACAGGCAAAGCAAACGGTGGAAACTCCACTGCAAAAACTGGCAATGTCAGTGGGTGGGTGATGTCAGTGTGTGGGTGATGTCAGTGGGTGGGTGATGTCAGTGTGTGGGTGATGTCAGTGTGTGGGTGATGTCAGTGTGTGGGTGATGTCAGTGATGTCAGTGTGTGGGTGATGTCAGTGTGTGGGTGATGTCAGTGTGTGGGTGATGTCAGTGTGTGTGGTGATGTCAGTGTGTGGGTGATGTCAGTGTGTGGGTGATGTCAGTGTGTGGGTGATGTCAGTGGGTGGGTGATGTCAGTGGGTGGGTGATGTCAGTGTGTGGGTGATGTCAGTGTGTGGGTGATGTCAGTGGTGGGTGATGCCAGTGGGTGGGTGATGTCAGTGTGTGTGTGTGGGTGGGTGATGTCAGTGGGTGGGTGATGTCAGTGGGTGGGTGATGTCAGTGTGTGGGTGATGTCAGTGTGTGGGTGATGTCAGTGGGTGGGTGATGTCAGTGTGTGGGTGATGTCAGTGTGTGGGTGATGTCAGTGGGTGGGTGATGTCAGTGTGTCATTTGTGGGGAGGACAACCCAGGTGCTCCTTGAATCAGTCACAAACTGACAATCTGGCATGAAGTTTCCCATACAGATTAATCGACTTGTTGTGTTCAGAGGTAATACTCAGGAAGACATTAAAGCATCAACACTTCTATACTACCGTCAACTCTCTGCTGTGTTTTGTATGTTTATTGGCTAAAATATTTTGGTTACAATAACTGACTGCTGACAGAGAGAGATCGATATCCACTCATAACACTTAATACACAGAAATCCTTTATTATCTTGAAAACCATAAAACAGACAATTTTATCATTCATTCAATCCATCAACCTTTTCGTTCAATGAAATATAACGTTAAAATTACAGAAATGTTTCAATTAAATTTCCCTCACAACTATAAGCTGTCATGAAAATACTATGTTAAAAAAACTTATTTTCTGTGTCGCAGTATTTCATGGGTTCTTGCTTACAAGAAAATAAAAAACAACACAATGTGATAACACATAAACTTTAATGCGTTTTACACAAGGTAGTTTATCGTATTCCCCTATGATAACACATTTTCTCCAGCAAGAAGGTATAATCTAAATTCTAAAAACAAATAGGTTGAAGACTATAAAAAGAAAGTACCATATTTTATGGATGACAACTTCTTTATTACAATATGCTGCAACATATTGGTACAGATTTGATATAGACTGTGACACTCCTTTTGACAATGGTATAAGAATCTAAATCACAGTTGTCATCCTTTCATATCACTCACCAAATTCTAGAATGCCAATGAAACAGATCATACTATATACAGTACACAATAAACTAGGTTTCCACCCGATGAAGATGCAACCATGTTTATTGATGCAGTACTGCAGGATACAACTGACAACTGACACTGTTCATAACAATGTTCCCACCACACATTCACAAGTAAGACTTTGGGGCTGTTTTATACACTGTCCATAGCAAATAAATAATGATAAACATGTCATATAACCATGAAAGTCATATGAACCATTAAACAAGGAATCTGTGGGATTGTCTCAGAAGAACCCTGTGTTGTCACTATGTTGACAATGACACCACTTTCTATAAGAAAAAGGCCACAACAAGTGTTAGCGCTCATCATTGACGTGATTGAAACATGATATTTAACATATCTTAATAAAATAAACAGCACCTGATTGAAACATGGCACTTTATACTGATTTAATAAAACAGACACCTGATTGCAAGTGAGTATTGTAATCACAGCGACTGATTATAAAGTATCAGCTGCTTTGTATTAATAGAGAAATAAACGTCAATTCATATTAATCTCTAAGGTACCCTAAACATAAAATTATCGTGTTAATCCTTGTAGTCTGCACATCCGCTGCGGTTAACTCCCGTGATTCACTTGTGATTATTTATGGCAACAAAGCGCTTGTCATCCCATGTGCGCAAACTACTTAAAAACTGTGCAAGTCGTCCATCAGCAGTCACGTACTTACCTTCATGTGTGATCTATCAAAGGTTTAATTCTAGGCACGGATATCCAGCGCATTGCTCTGTAGTATCGTACGTTAATACTGACAACAGAACTGTCAATTTTCCATTTCATCGCCAAAATGTCGGTAACTCACAACCGGAAATGCACGAATCCAGTCGATGATACCTCGGTCCCGGGAACCAAGAGGGTGTATACAGGCCCACCCAACAAGCGCGTTTTAATTTAATTGAAAAAATCCTCCACTGTGCTTCCCAACAACTGTTATTATGACGTTGTTATATCCTCGTTGTTAAAGAAAACACAAATGAACCTTGTCGTTTCCATAATAGATACAAATCAGTTTCTGGTTCCACAGAAGAAACTATTTTTCTTAAATAACGGGACCAGGCACTGCACGCCACGAGCCAGTGGATAATAACCTACCTTGGTACACCAGCGCACCGAACAGGACCGGCACGGCCCCTGGGAGTTTTAATCCTCCGATAAAATGCTTTGAGCAAACTCGACTGTCTCGGGTCACCTTATCATGGGGGGTACCGGACTGAATCAGGCTCTCCACCCACTTGGACGCAAGTATTTGATGTTGCCACGGTATACGATGCATCTTAACATAGTCTGTGTTCCCAAACCGGCTGTAGCACCCATTTGCAACGCAGTGTTTGGGCATGGTTGAATTGAATACGTTCACAAAGCCAGTACAAATCAGGAGCCAGACAGCTGCCCGGACCAGACACAAGAAACCAGTGAGGCTCTCGATGAGTGGTCCTCCTCAACGGAACCAGGGACCAGATAATGTTCGCAATAGCATTGAGCAATGGTTTGTGTAGATTAATCATTGCGCTCAATACATAAATAGGAGTTGATTTGGAATCAATCACTGACTTGTCTGGTGCAGATTCGGTTATTTACAGAAGCCCGAATATTACACAGTGGGGTGTTAAACACATTTTTTATACATACGGTTTCAAACAGTCACGTTTGGGAACGATAAACCAATGTTTAATATCATAAACACACTGTACACGTCTCATGGTCTGTCCACCCGGCCCGTCTTGGAGCCGGTACTCAAGGATCTCAACAAAGTCACCAATAAAGGAGTGTTGTGTGTCGTGAACGTAAATTAACAGGCATGTAGGTTGCCGCGTTCTTCTGGTGTCACCGACCGAGTTTCCAAAACTGTAAATATGACGACTGCCATCCACGCATGCACACACATAACCTCTACTCCCGAATGCGCGATACTGCCGTGAAAGTATGGTTTCGTAACAAAGGTATTGTCGTTCTGGACACATTAATGTTGCATATTCGTTAAACCGGTTGAAACGTTTATTTTAAATCCGGTACTAAAAATGGGGACGCCATTTCTTCGGTTGAGGAGCAAATGTACTGAACACTCGAGACTGATTTGTTCGAGGCTCGTTGTATCAAGATTCTCCCATTTGACTCGAACGTACGTAATATAGTATTCCTTTCAAATTATTTTTACATGCACGGCATGATTCGATTACTTCATAAACTTGAACATGTATATGTAAAAAATATTTTACCGCAGACACCACTGCCTGTTCAAGAGCCTCAGGGCCCCACAATTAGAATGTGTAGCTCGCTCAACCAGTCATTCGCTACACGCCAAAACAAATCGATAATGCTACACCGCCATAGTGCAACGGTCCAATTTGCAAACATGTGTAGGATAGACCCAGGAATGGCTTCCATCGTTCTCATTCTGCCGCTAATAACGAACTAAACTCACCAAAGACTGCCGGGAATGTGGGCTGGTGGTCATGACTCCCGGTCACGCAGGTCACGGTGTCGAACACAGTGATGGCTTTCCCCATGCATCCGACTCGCTTACAACGCCAGTACTCGCGGGTGCCCCTTTCTCTGTACCGCCTATACTCGTAACCCCCCAACACAAGCCCACGGCAATTCTTGGAAGTCCGGATGAAGTGAGAACGAACTTTCGTCTCCATCTTGGAATGAGCTACATTCATTGTAGCGCGCCTACGCGAGCTAAATAGGTCACGTGATATGTACAAGAATGTATGGAAGCCTTGAATCGCTATTATCCGGTAATAAAAGCAGTTGTACTTACATTTTAGTAGCGAGCGTTTAAATGCAGTATACACGAACTTTAAAAAATATTACTAACCAGAATCCACCGGGAACCTCCATGCTGTTCCCTATATATGCCTTAGGTGCATTTGTATATTAACAAAGACATTGGAGCTTTCGTAGTTTAGATCATCTGTCTTCAAATACCATGGGCATATTCAAACCCCAACAAATTTGAACCAATTTAGAAAGTATCTTAATATGAAAGAGTCAAAACTGGTATTTCTTCACTTCAGATAACTGGTTTGGGAGGTGCTAGTGCGAGTTTAGTTTTACACCGCTTTTAGCAATATTCCAGCAATATCACGGCGGGGGACACCAAGAATGGGGCTTCACACATAGTGCCCATGTGGGGAATCGAACCCGGGTCTTTGGCGTGACGAGCGAACGCGTTAACCTCTATGCTACCCCACTGCCCGGTTTGGGAAGGAAGAGATATAACATTATATACGACATTCTTCCCTGTCAACTTCGTCAATGTGAAATGAGCATGGGTGTCTATACCAGTGATGGACATGTGACTGGGGTCGTACCCCGATTTTAGCAATGTTCTAGAAATATCAAGACAGGTCGCACCGGAAATAAGCTTCATACATTGTACCCATGTGGGAATTGAACCCGGGTTCCGGCGTGACGAGCGACCTACTGGGCCACCCACCACCCGTGATGTATAGTGAAGCATGATTATTAGAGTGAGTGAGAGAGTTTAATTTTACGCCGCACTCTGCAAAATTCAAGCTATATGGCGGCGGTCTGTAAATAATCGAGTCTGGACCAGACAATCCAGTGATCAACATCATGAGCATCGATCTGCGCAATTGGGAACCGATGACATGTGCCAACCAAGCCAGCGAGCCTGACCACCTGATTATTAGAGACACTGATAGGAACGCTGGAGCAGAAGATGCTGAATGATAGACATCACAAGTAGAGTTGTCTTTGCTTTACAGTAACAAACCTTCAGAAGTCCCTGCGTCCTGCTCGTGTGGTTCCGCCGCTTCCCTAGCGCCACCTATAGGCATTTGAACAGACCCTTCACTCGCAGACGGCCACTGAACAATTCCATATCTCATCTTGAACCGAAGCAGCCAACCCTTGGAATAAGCAAAGTCGGATATTCCCAGTTCACGTCCCAAAGTTTGAGCTTTTTCACGTAAAATGGCGTCGGACATTGGTGCACCTGCTGTGACGGCCTCCCTGTATCGTTGAAACAGGGCTGCCTCCATGTCACCATGCCGAGCATTCCTTATCTTCTTCACGCCAGGCGGCACGAATGCATCCTCCCACTTCTCGCGCTGACTGAGGATGCCCCCGACAGTTCTCCGTACAATCGGAGTCCCCCACATGTTGGAGAAGGCAGTGGCAATCTGCGACTGGGAGGCCTTTGGGTTTTTTGTTGCAAACTCTACAATTTCCCTCTTCTGACTGACGTCTAAAATGCATCGTTTGTTGGGAGTAGAGAGTGTGTTCGAGCGCGGTTTCTGCATTTTAATTAGCGCCGTACTCTAAATCGTGGCCTGAGTGAAGATGACAAATTGTAAAATTCCTAAATCAAACGGGCTTTTTTAAGGATTGCTTGGAATCCAGAGGCTGAGATCGTAGATGAAGATGAATCAGTTCGTGAAACGTCATGTAGGTGTACAGATATCATGCTGTGGTCCGTGAATCGGCCTTCACTTCCTGTAGTCACATCCAAGATGGCGGTTACCACTCACGAGACTCGATGAACAGCCAGCGCCAGGAAGAAGCCGTTTGACAATCACGTCCATGACAACACAAAACCCATCACCAAACGCCAACAGTGTAACTCCGAATACAGTCTGTACACACAAAGCAGCTGAAAAGCAGGCCGCAGTCAATTTCCATGGAGTCTTCGTTATAACACCCAAACCCAAGCTTGGCGCTTTCGCGTCTCGCTATTGCCAAGTAGGTCACTCAAGGGCTAATTTATGGTTAACGGTTGAGGACATATTTCCTGAGTGTGGCGGCGTCAAATTAACTTCGGTTGTGAATGGAATAAATGTTGCATTAACTGTTTGATTTGCACAATATTTCTTTTCTCATAATGTATGGATGTTCAACAAAAGTAGGATTTTTGCTTTTTTACACTAAGTCATAGGCAAGGAGGGACACCGATGGCCCATTCGACTATAGCGCCACATTTTACTGTGTAGAGTTGCGTCCCTTTCAGCGTACCAGAATTCGACGAGTTGAGGATTCGGCGCCTTGGTTTATCAGCACCAGATCTACTCATGGGTTACACCTCTAGGATGACTTATGACTTATGATGTTTCTCCGAAATTAAGTGTGTGTGTGTTCATCAGAAATAACATTCAGGTGATCCGCACTGATATAAGGACTTGCATTATTACTAAACATTCATTCATTCACACATTCATACATATAGCGCCGATATCCAGCTCAGCTCAGCTGCTCAAAGGCGCTTACTTTTTCCCTCGTTCACTGGATGTCAATCTCAACGGCACATCGTATTGTCAATCTCAACTCCCTGGGGAGCATACAACTCTTGCTGCCACTAAGCGCACCGAGTTATTGTGGCATTCCCATCCTTACGAGGTACCCATTCACAGCAGGGTGGACTGGCACACATAGTCACAGTACTTTGTCCAAGTTTTACTGCACGTTGCTGTACCCGCAACTAGGTGTTTGCACGTATTCATGTGGCCACCATCTGGTCATATTCCAACGGATTCGCGGGTTCTTTTACTGACTGACTGAGTTTGGTTTTACGCCGCTTTTAGCAATATTCCAGCAACATCACGGCAGGGGACACCAGAAATGGGCTTCACACATTGTGCCCATGTGGGGATTCGAACCCGGGTCTTCGGCGTGACGAGCCAATGCTTTAACCATTAGGCTACCCCACCGACCCTTCGTGGGTTCTTTTAAGTGCACAGGGTTGTGTACTGTACACTAGGGGTTGTGACAACACTGAAAGAGTCTGCACACTAAGTTGACTCCAAGGTTTTTTACACCCGGTCACAGGTGGGCTCGATCCCGTCACCTCAAGCTCGCTGGATCACTAGCCTGGCGCTTTAGCCAGTTCGCCCACAGTACTAACTGTAGCAGTGAGAGACCTTTACAGGTATGTACAATGTATCTGTCATGTGGCATAATAATATTGGCAAATACAACTTATGTATGCATTTCCACGTTGTTCCTTAAAACCTTGAGGAAATACTGTCAGGCCAATTATATATGGTTGACATCAGTATCTGCAATCAAGTGAAAAGAGTTTATACGTATCTTACCAGAAAGTCCAAAGCCTGCTATGTTGGACTGGAATCGACTGGATTCGGGTCTTGCTGCATTGAGAGGGTTGAAGGGCACGGGGTCGGGGTGTTCAGGGGTGGGGCCACGGCCACCGACGAAGTGCTGAAATAGAGGGCAGTACGTTAATGGAAGATCCACTGCAACAGACAAACCGATAGGCTTTTGTTTTGAATAGGCAACGACTCGAAACGTCTAAAATCTTTACAAAATATAACTGAAAACCTTTGATGCTCATGCCTTTCTGACAATTACTACGTCAGGTGACCAATCCAAACGTTTGGCCTGAAGGCAGTATACACCCCCCATCCACACGTGCGTTCTTCCTCAATCAATGTATTGTATCTCTTCCTTGTCTGCATTACCCGCTGATGTATCGCGGAGAATGGTCCCGCTTGAGTTCTCACTTGACCTTCCCCTTGATAATTCAAAACGTGACCTTGCAATGCTCGACCGCAACCTTGTTTTGCTGTTGTTTGACCTTCACCTTTTTCCCTCACGACATGACTTTGACAAGCTTGACCTTGAACTCGTTTCGCAGGTCCTGTACCATGTTTCATCCGTCGATGCAAATTCAGGTTGTCTTTCCGGGAGAACGCGCGCCCGCAGCAGTCGCAGAGAAACTGGCGGACCTTGTCGTGAACTCGGGTGTGGCGGGCGAGGTCATACTTCCTCTTGAAGCTCAAATGACAAATGCGACATGGGAAAATTTGCCGAGTCTCATGTATAGTCTGCATGTGGCGCATGAGAGAGGCCCTTGTTGTGAACTCCTTGCCACATGCGGAGCACTTGGAGCTGTCATCAGCACAGCTTCCGAGAAAATCCATTTCCATCATACTAGTGAGGGTGACCTTAGTTGGCACCTACACATCGATATTTAGCAATGGCGTCCTGAATTGGGAATCCGCACTGCCTGGCTAACAAATCTCTACTACATAAGTCGTACGCACGACGCCTAGCTCTTGATGCTTGCCTGGCGTTCAGCCCACAGCCTTCTAGGCGGCGCGCGTTCAGACGAAAGCCCAGCTGTTGCCACGGCGACGGGGGATAGACCGAGTTACTTCAGCGTCTAGCCAGGCGTTCAACACAAACAATACTTGCAGCAGTCTTGAGCGAGTCACAGTAACCCACAACTCCCCGCGTCCCCGATATACCGCCTCCAGCCCCTGTATACCAACAACAAAACTGACACATGAATTGTCAAATTAATAATTTGTGGCCCAATCAACGATCTATCAAAAAAGGCGAATGGGTTGTGTGTATACTATACTCTACCTTGGAGCATACAAAGTGATATTTCCGCACCGAGAATACATTGAGTTTCTCGATTGGTTTCCCACAAGCGGCCAACCACCTCAGACACGGGTCACGTCTAGTCTTTGGTTTGGGGAAAGGATGGAAGGTCACTCCTGCCATCGACTCCTTGAAGTGATACCGCGTGTCACTTTTACAGGCGCCCCACATGCATCGTTTAACCATCGTGTCCCTACTGGGTAACTCGAGTTGTGAACCACTGCTGAAGAAGGCGGCGTATAATGTCTGCTTGTCTGACCTCGCCTTGCATCCGGGCTCTTGACGTGTCAGTCAGCGGGCAGTGAGGCCCCACAGGGGTCCTCTAATGTCGAACTCTCATTGTTAAGCGTCCAGATGATTTTTTTATAACTTTTTTGGATTGTTGATCAATCAACATGGCGTTTGTTATATCGTTTTAAAAAATCCAATCAGTTTTATCATTATATATTATGTATTAAAATATTTGACTGAATTTGAAACAAATTTAATAACTGCAACGATGACCGGAACAGTCTCGATTGGTGAATATTGTCTATGTTCCTTCCCTTTATAACACAAAAAAACCAAAGCAGCAAACAGACATTTTAGCGTAAATCATCAACAGAACCCTCAAACATAGACATATCCAATATTGCCTTCCAAAGTTGAGTTCAGAACGTAATATAATTCTCTTTCCGGGGCTCCTTGCTGTTATGTTTCAAATGAAAACTGAACAAAAACGACATCTCTGAATATTATCATTTCAGACACCAAATAAAGAGTACATGTCCTTACCTTTGAACAAACATAATGATATCTTTTTATTTTGTCTAAATTGAGTTTGTTTTGCGGTCGTCCACAAGCTTTCACCTAGCGTCCGCAGTCCTCCATCCTGGTTTTGGTTTTTGGCAAAGGGTGAAAGGTCACTTCCGTTTCCTCCCTGAACATGTAACGCGTGTCACTATTACAACACACACACACACACACACACACACACACACACACACACACACACACACACACACACACACACACACACACACACAGTGCTTCGTCTTTCCCATGGTCTGTGTCCACTGACTGAATCTTCTAGACAGAACGATATGACGACTTTCAGCAACAGGTATTCTACGGTCAGGACAGTACCGATAAATAACATATAGAAATACTCCCTATGCGTGGTAAAAGTCGAGGAGTAATCGGTCACGTGACAACACTATCTACAGTGGGGCGCTGGATGGATGGCCGACTTACACATTACGTGTGATGTTTGATGTACACGTATATATGTACACATTCTGTTGATGGGCTTTTTGTTTTGTTTACATCAACACAACCTCTAGCAATGAAGTGTTACAAAAATCCTGGGAAACAAGGAATGTACTTCACATATTGCGCTTGTAAGGAATCGAACTCTATCCTTTGGTAAGACGAGCCAACGCTGCATCCACTGTGTTATCAATCACCTCCTAGGTAGGACAGAGGGTAGTATGGAAAACCCCGTGGTCACGTACTGTCCCAGGGAACGGTAGCACCGTGTGTTAACGTCTACAGAGTCAAATGCCCGAGATGCACGAGCGCCAGCTGGAACCACGTGGGGTGGGCATGGTGTTGACAAACCGAGAATCATCAGTAGGATTCAAACCAACGACCAGCTCACCCTTGGAAACATAAGTGACGAAACTCTACAGAGCCCTTTGACCGTTGCTTAACGCCGCACTAAGCAGTCTTCCCGTCATATGCCGGTGTTCTGTAAATAATCGATTCTGGGTGAGGTTGTTCCGTGCCAGTGGTTGACTTCAGGAGCATCGATATACCATAAACTGTGATACGATGTGTTTGTAGAAATTCTCCACGAGTATTTTCATACATTTTGAACACCACGTGATATAAGCTAATTTCTAACTCACCTCAGTTCGAATCCGTTTCGTACTTCTGCTGTTTATTTTGGAAACCTTATGGAAGTTGAACAGTGTGGGTACAGCATTCGGTTTGAGCAGCCGCCTCCGCTTCCCTCCCCCCATCCCAAGGTCGAGCCTCCTGTCCGGCAAGTAACAGTCCGGGCTAAAGTGATCCGAGCACACACGTGCATGTTGGGTCACGTGCGGGTTTTCCAGCCTCATTAACAACAACCACTGTTCTAACAACGCTGTTTGGCTTAAGGGGAGTCGGTGGAAACTGACTCCTCTCTCATAAGCATCGTTTTTATTGGAACACCCGAACGCCATGCAGAACACCATCGTCAAGGTCAAGAGGTCACCACGTTATCTCTAGCTTGTTTCTGATCACATTAAAGAACCACGACACCGAACGTCACACTAAGGGAGGTCAATGGAGGTCAATGGAGACGCTGCTGACCTGCTCGGTATCAGCTGCTGTCCAGATCAGGTTTCAACTCTATATTCCGAAGTCTGATTCTTCCATGGTCACCAGACTAACACAACCACACTTCCTGGCTTCCGACTGTCAGACGAACACCGTTATTTCGTCTTGTCTTGCATCTTGTTCCTTAGTTCGGTTATTACCATGGTGATCCACTACCCACGTGCCGCTTGCTCCCATAACGGTTGGGTGAACCTACCCTACCGGCGGTACACAACCAGCGTTACAGCGAGGTTTGTGGGGATACAACAGGCGATCGCCGAGTTGGCGGTGACGAGTCCGTCCACTCCTCACACTGTAATACTCGTCACTACAATAATACTGGTCTATCGATTAAAACAGATACACAAAACACTTGCATCGCATATCCCAAGTTCGTCTCTGGTTATCACTGCAAGGATATTTGCACTAACAACCACTGGGGCACTCGATAAGGGCTGCACGCTTTTACGTGGATAACTAGGTCAACGCCCGTGGTGGTGCGTCTGGTCGCCCGTGCTGCAGGTTACTTCAAAGCAGACGTCACAGTAACAATACTGTTCTTGTGTGGTTATGGGTATAATATCAATTGACATAATTTTATCAACTGGCTAACGTTTAGCAACAAAACTACACTAAGTGTTATATGTTTTCAATCTTACCTTGGAACACACAAAGTGGTACGGTTTTATTTTGTTCACGTTTAGTCTATCTGCAGGACGCCCACAAGCGGCAATCCACCGAAGACAATCCGGAAGTCTCGTCTTGGGTTTTGGAAAGGGATGGAAAGAGACTGGATGTTGTTCCCTGTGGAGATACCGAGAGTCACAGTGACAATCGCCCCACACACAAGCCTTGTTTTTCACCATGATGACAACAAATCCTGCCCTAAGTCGCCCTGGATAGCCAAACACGAGATAGCGATTTGATTTAGCATATGTGCAAAGGGTGGTCCATGGTTAATGATCCTCACAACATCCGGAAACAGCAGGTGCGAGCAGCACCTTGTCACGTGACCATCTCGCGCACGGTTATTGTGAGGCTCCCGTGACTGGGAAGGCGTAACATGATGTAGTTCACCGGCCTTATAACGAGGAAGAAATTGCAGGGGACTAATTCTCGTTCTCTTTGAAGATATGAGGCGGCCAGTTGCATTGTAGTTGAGGCGGCCAGGTGCATCGTAGTTGGTACGGGGAGACGTTGACACAATCCACAATGTAGGGGACGCGTTGACACAATCCACGTTGTAGGAGGGAGACGCCGACACACTCCACGTTGTAGGGAGGAGATGCTGACACACTCCACGTTGTAGGAGGGAGACGGTAACACAATCCACGTCAAAAAGGGGGGCGTTGACACAAACCACGTCATAGCAGGAGACGTTGACACAATCTACGTTGTAGCTATTGGCATTGACACAATCTACGTTGAAGGAACAGATATTAACACAATCCACGTCTTAGGGGAGACGTTGACACGATCCACGTCGTTTTGGGGAGACGTTGATATAATCATCGTCTTAGGGGAGACGTTGACACAATCTACGTCTTATGGGGGGAGACGTTGTTATAATCCTCGCTGCAGGAGCAGACATTGGCACATTCCACGTCTTAGGGGAGACGTTGACACGATCTACGTCTTATGGGGGGGAGACGTTGTTATAATCCTCGCTGCAGGAGCAGACATTGGCACATTCCACGTCTTAGGGGAGACGTTGTTATAATCCTCGCTGCAGGAGCAGACTTTGGCACATTCCACGTTGTGGGAGTAGGCATTGGCACAATGCACGTCGTGGGAGTAAGCATTGGCACAATGTACGTCGTGGAAATAGGCATTGGCACAATGCACGTCGTGGGAGTAGGCATTGGCACAATGCACGTCGTGGGAGTAAGCATTGGCACAATGCACGTCGTGGGAGTAGGCATTGACACAATGCACGTCGTAGGGGAGAAGTAACATTGACAAAACCTACCCACGGGACGTCCACCCCTGGATACCACACTCACCTTCGATCTATGTAGATCACCCGAGGTGCAGGTTGTAGCAGGCATGACCGGGTTCAGTTTAGCATATACTTTACGAGTAAGTGGAAGCCACTTGCGAAATTGGGGAAGGCAGCGTCTTGCATATGATTAATTTACTGTGACGGTTATTTTAAGCGTAATGCACGTTGAATCAACCACGATCCCACAACAATCAATATACGGGAATACAAGTGACACACCATTAAACTTGTAGTCTAGTTATGTCCCTTTTACGTACATCTGCTTGTTCCAGGTCACAATTACATTCCACTCTTTCGACACCATGATATACTGTAATTCGTAACTGATACAAACTCACTCACCACTCACTCACTCACTCACTCACGTAGATTCTATTGTTTTCAGAAACTGTTTATTTCCATAACTTCGACTTCCCATTTGACTTACCTTTGAGCAGACAAAATGATATTTTTTAATTTTGTCAATGTTGAGACGTTCAAACGACCTGCCGCACGCGACAATCCACCTCATGCTATCATGTGGCCTCCTCTTTGGTTTGGGAAAGGGGTGAAAGGTCACATCCGTCATGTGATCCTTGTGTCGATACCTTGTGTCGCTGTTACAGTCTCCCCACACGCACCGCTTCGTCTTGCCCATCTTGCACACAGTCAGGATCACAGTTCTTCTAAAAGCTTTCCTTGCCAGAAATATGTTCACCACTCCAATCCTGACTTGATTCGCGCAAAACAGAGATATAGGCAGTTCAATAACGTCATGTGCACTCCCCTTGAGACCGCCCGACTCTAAGGGAGTTCAAAAGCACCACGTGACTCACGAGTCTCTTCACGAGGCGCTTCCACATTCGCGATAACGATTTTCAAGTTAAACACGCTGGACGTAGTTCAGGTCGCTCTGTTGGGTCTCCTTAACTAACGTTCTGTTTATCTGTTACAGGTCATGATCCATTCTGAGATCAGCAGATATGACTCCAAGTTATATAGTCTCACACACTACGGGTATGCAATGCTATATCCCCTTATGCCGAATACCTGACCCCCATGGAAATGCAATGTTACATCCACTATAATACCCCGAAACTATCCTGACCCCCATGGATATGCAATGCTATATCTACCCCTTATACCGAAAACCTGACCCCCATGGATATGCAATGCTATATCTACCCCTTATACCGAAAACCTGACCCCCATGGATATGCAATGCTATATCTACCCCTTATACCGAAAACCTGACCCCCATGGATATGCAATGCTATATCTACCCCTTATACCGAAAACCTGACCCCCATGGATATGCAATGCTATATCTACCCCTTATACCGAAAACCTGACCCCATGGATATGCAATGCTATATCTACCCCTTATACCGAAAACCTGACCCCCATGGATATGCAATGCTATATCTACCCCTTATACCGAAAACCTGACCCCCATGGATATGCAATGCTATATCTACCCCTTATACCGAAAACCTGACCCCCATGGATATGCAATGCTATATCTACCCCTTATGGAAAACCTGACCCCCATGGATATGCAATGCTATATCTACCCCTTATACCGAAAACCTGATGGATATGCGAATATCTACCCCTTATACCGAAAACCTGACCCCCATGGATATGCAATGCTATATCCACCCCTTATACCGAAAACCTGACCCCCATGGATATGCAATGCTATATCTACTCCTTATACCGAAAACCTGACCCCCATGGATATGCAATGCTATATCTACTCCTTATACCGAAAACCTGACCCCCCATGGATATGCAATGCTATATCCACCCCTTATACCGAAAACATGCCCCCCATGGATATTCAACGATATATCTACCCCTACCCCTATATGAAGACTTGCCTTGCTAGACCGCCTCCGTCTCCCGCGGGAGGGTTGGTGGTTGTGGCCCTTGTTGTTGTCAGTCTCGAACACACACTCACTGTTGGTGATGACCATGGCGGAACAACCTCTGGTCGTGCATCTCCACGTAATGTTTCCCGCAATACTTTTGTAGTGATAACTGTACTTATAGCCGCTGTGGGTTATACAGTCCGCCCCTCGCGTCGTCACGCTTTTCTCAAACTGCATATTTTCCAAATACGGTATTTTAAAGCTAAGAAATAGTTTGCCTCAAACCCTACTTTTAACCAAGACACAAATATATGTCTGCTTAAATTTCTTGTGCTGATAACACAACTTAACAGGCAGCTCAATAGCGAGGCATCCTGTGCTGAATCGCCCTTGACATTGTGCCAGATCTGCATGGCCTGTGCCAGATCGCCCCTCGTTATAACGCTATTAGTGTATATGTCGTTTCAATTTTACGAGGAAAAGGCTTGAGTTTGAGTTACATGTAATGAATGACTGCAGTACAGGTGTGGAGGGTCAAGTTGATATTGACAGACTCCGCGCATGCCTAAAGATTGCCTTCTTAGTCTTCGTTCGGAGGGCAATGTCAGATCGTGACAGACTTCACTCGGGGAAGAGTGATCGTGCCGAGTCAGCGAGTTTTGAACCTTTGAACCGTACGTATAACAGTTCTACCACGACATTAATAATTTACGCGTAATCAAAATCTTACGAAATGAGACACTGGAGTTGGAGGTTCGGGGTGGAGTGTGAGTGAGCGAGTGGGTTTAGTATGACGCCGCTTTTAGCAATATTCCAGCAACATCACGGCGTGGGAAACCAGAAATGGACTTATAACATGGTATCCATTTGGGGAATCGAACCCGGGTCTTCGGCGTGACGAGCCAACGCTTTAACCACTAGGCTACCCCACCGGCCCTTCGGGATGGAATGAAGATTACATTTTTAGTAAAATAAAAGTGCAAGTGCAACGGCAAGTGAAGTATTCCAGTTTCCAAAAGAGCGGGAAATGTTTTACAGACATCTTCAAATACTTCGGGCTACATATATTCGTGACATGTTCCGGTTCGAACACGGCGAACATCCACAGCCTGACCAGGAACAAGTCGACAAAGGTCCTATACCACCCACTGTGGACGATACGGCCACAAACCGGCTGTTGTCAGTACGCCCCCATTACAAACATTCACATGTGGAAGTATTTGAAGATATAACATATGTTACTTTCTCAGTAAAGTACAGATTCTAGTACTTATAATTGGGGGACACAGGGGGGGGTGTGTTTGAGTCCCATCCGGGATTCGAACCCACACCCTCAGTTCCCCCCCCCCCCTTTTGCATTACGATAGAGAAAATCGTCGTTATTTGCGTTGTATTTAATTCATTTCAATATATCTTCAATTCGGTTAAAGTCATCGCTAATTTACTTCAATATAGCTTTAAATAAATTATACACAATGGATTATTGCTTTGTCGCATTATCGTTATCCCCCGCAACGCGTTTTGTGGGGGGTATTTAAATGGACTCCGTCCGTCCGTCCGTCCTTGCACATTTGTCTTTTCCGGAGCA